TTAGAAATGTATCTCATTGTGTGTGACAATCATACGCATAAGCATAGGATCAAATTCACAAGTTCATAAAGTTTGGACTAAATGTAACAGATATTAATGAAAATTAATCAAAAATTTTGTAAGATAAATTAGGTTAAAATATATAATGAGTGAATCATAAGTTAGGCTCATTTCCTTTTTTGGATGTTGTTCAACTGATTAATGATTACATGGCCATTTTGACAGGTACAATTTATAATAGTGTCACACATATTCTTCATACATAATCAAATCTTCATATCTACATATTCAATAAATTATAATAATGACTTATAAATCGTTTCCGATATGATTTATTGTTACTTCTGAAATTGAAATATACAATGACATAACAGAACAGAACAGATTAATTATTTTGACTTATGCATATACAGCTTATCATCAATCATACAAAAATGATACAAAATTACATTACATTAAATCGCATGCAAATGAAATTGTAAGTTGCATAGAAGGAAAATAATATACTATGTAATCAGTAAAAAAATATATACAAATACGTAACTTTTTATCTCAATGTATAAAACGTCTTTTATCAACTTAATTTAATGTCTTTTAAATGATTATATACGTAACATTGGGTATAGGGAAATACAGTCACTGCATAACATAATATCAAAATATAAGTGTTAAAACTTAAAATGCATTTTGATACAATATATGATATGTTATGAGTAAGAATAAAGGTGTTTATTTCGCCTTCATCGGATGAATGAAGTTTTTGTAAGTTGTTACTTATGTAACTGGTCACTGGCCAGTATGGGATTATATGTTATAAATTTGCTAATTTACAAAATCGCTCGCTACGTATAAATGATTCACTTTTATGATTCATCGAGCATTTATGATAAAGGGGAAGAATGTTTCATTTCACCTCTTGTTCTGACAAAGCAAACTGTTCACAGTAACAAGGTTTCCCCTTTTCGGATGCTGTAATAAAATAAATATTTATTTGAGAAAAATGAGAAATATGAAACATTTTACGAAACATAATTCTTCTGATCAAACTGTAAAAGCTTCTTCGCAGTAGAAACTCATTTGTCAAGTACCCGTTCATTTGAAATAAAAGTTGATCATTTCAAAACATGTAACATAAAAATAAGTGTTAGTAGATTTTAGATAGTAAGGAAATATTCTAAAATCTATTATGTTCCTTTGTTTCATAAATATGTCAAAAAGTATATTAATAATTTGATCAGATATGAAAAGATAAGACAATTTAATATGATCTTGCATTCTTGCATCTCAAAACATTATGCATGCTTGATATACAAGATATAAATTTGGTATAAGTACAATTCACTGTTAGCTAACTTCAAGTAAAAGGTTATGTGTCTGCTGTTTGTAAACATAGCTGCAATCTTTAACAGAAAGTCTCAATGCATGTTGCTTCGCACATAACAATATTATTATATGAACAAATGCATTTGCTCCAAGAGTTTACAGCAACCTCCCGGGGAAAACAAAATTATCTACTGCACTTGGTATTATGCGCATTTCGGATTGTATTTTATTTGTTGCACTTCACAACCTGGGAAACTTCTAGAGCAAGTTTCTATTAGAGAAAATGCATTATATATAACCAGAAAACTTCTTCGACATTCATAAGAAAATTATAAAGGGACATTGGGTCCATCTCTTCATTGTTAAGTTGAGCTTAAAAGTTATATAGTTCATAAGATTCACTATTATAAGAAACGGTTGGGATAAAACACAAAACATAAAGTATAAATAGCCAATTTAGTTTGTACCAATTCATTTTAGTCCGATTGTGTTCGATTGTGTCGGAAGCCATAAGGTTATTGAAACTAAGTCATTTGTTTGACTGGTGCTTATAAGATTATATGTAATTTAATAATATCATTTAAATGATTCACAAATTCATACAGAATGGCCCATATACTTTTGCAAATGATTCATCGAGCTTGTATGATAAGGAAAAAAAAATGTTTCCTATCACTTTCGCAATGTAAGGGCACAGTGTGTTATTTAAAATACCTTCTTTTGTCACAATAAATTAAGTGGATGGTGCGTCACACATTATTAAATGGTCAATCTTTAAAAAAAATCATTTCATGCATTTTACATATGAAATAACATAAGCATTTATTCGACTTTATAGTCTTTCTGAATGTATTGTAAAAACATTTATAGTAGAAATTTTTCATTCATGTAACATCAACTGAGAATATTAATAATTGTAAATGTTTTCTTCTTTTAAAATGTATTATTAATGACATCTTTGTCCAATTCGGTCAGAAAATAATCAAAATGAACCTGAAATACTCATTCGGTCAGAAAATACTCAAAATGAACCTGCAATCCTCAATATTTTCAACAAAAATTAAATTTTCAAGATTTTAAATACATGTTACTTGATGTTATTAATGATGTGTTATTTCAAGTGCTTAATCATAAACAAGTATACATAGTTGGTAATCTTACAAAAGATCAAAGAGATTTTAATTGGTTATCTTATTTCTAATGTATTGATATACGTGACGACAATCTGCTTCTGTTCATAATAGAAGAGAACTCTGTAAGATTTTATCATTTCGTTGACAATACAGTATTCAAAAGAATTCTTCAATAAATTTACTTGACTTGTCTAATCGTTTATACACACATCCGTTACAAACAACATTTACTCTAATGTTTTGCGTACAAAATGATGATTAAAACTTTCAAGGAAAAAGTATAAACAATGATTTTAACGTTTTATGATATGTATTTTAAAACACAATTATTGTTCAAAAACCTCAAACAGATGTATATAATTAGTTATCTCGTAATCTTACGAATGATTCAATGATCATTTTAATTGTTTATCTTAGATAACGTATATTGCGGAAAGCTAACCTCAAACTTGTATCATTTTTTGTTGTTTTTTTCACAACTGCAGTTGTGTTAGACACATAAAAAGATCTGCCTTGTGACGGACGAAACTTTTTTTTTTTCAGAAAGGTTATGCTTGGGCGAAATATAAATTATTTCAGGCCTTCAAATAAGATAAATCATAACATTGACAAATGATTATAAGGCACTTAAATACCAATTAACAAAGAGAATGATAAATATTACATGATATAAAGTTTGCTGAAATTTTGACGGAGGTAATGTAACATGTATCACAAAGTGTAGGTTTTACACTTGATCCCCGCTATGTAGAATTATCATGATTTACATATATTATTATATATAAGGGGTGTCCGTTGCCGAGCGGTTGAGGTCGTTGACTTCGAACCATTTGTCTCTCACAGCTTGTGTTCGAACCCCACCACGGGCTTTGAATTCTTTTATGTGAAAAATATATCCAGCTAGCTTACGGAACGTCTATGATTCTACTAATGGGCACGTTCATGTCTGAAATAATGCATGGAGGGACATTGGAGGTCTTTCTCCATCCTCAAAGCTGGAAAGTCGCCAAATAGACCCTAAGGTTTTTGTGCGACGTAAAGTCAAACATAACATTTTCAAATATGTCAATGTATCTCGTCTATCAGCTGAATTACTTTCGGTGTCATATGAACAAAATAGTGTTAATGCGCCGTGAAACCAAACAAAACAAAGCATCAGTAGAATTACAATAAAAGTTGATAGATTACAGCGGTCTCTGAACAGCGGGAAAAGTTACTGTTTGCTGTAAATGTTATTTACAATCCCTTTTGGTTGCAAAGTCATTATTTTAACACCATTTCGATTATGTTACGATTTAATTATTTGTGAAGCTGTGTCATCATTTGAGTCACGAACAGTAAGTGTTAAGGATTAGAATGATGAAAATTAGAATGACGTTATGGTTAATCAAAACATCTGCATAATAAGGAAGCGGTAAAGTTTTCATATATACTTTTTAATCTGAATAAAATGAAGAAAAAACTTATCAGTACTCTGAGAAAAAAGTCAATTTAATTTATTAATTTTGAAACGTGTTGATAATTTTCTTCTTCTTTTTAAGTAGCATAAAAAAGGTTGACATTTGACATGTCTATTTATGTATTTAATGATTTCAAAGTCATTTAACGTGCATTATTCGAAAGACAATTATCCTGAGTTTTTAGCAAACTTATGATGAAAAATTATTATTGATTTCACTTGTGTACATGTATATAATTCAATCGTAGGATTATTAAAATGACTACCTTCCATGAACAGGCTCAATCAAATCGAGCCAGCGGCATTTTCATTTTTTCCCGCTTTGGGTCTGCTTTTCTTATGAATTTTAAATTACACTTTTACCCTTTAAAATATTTTTTAAGAACAAACTCAATCAAACAGTGTTTGCAATTTTCATATCATTTTGTTGTATTTATTGGTTCTGAGAAATCTTCCCTTTTCGAGATAGTCATATTTGTTATTTGACTTATTAAAATGAAATTAAATCATTTTTATGACTTTCTTCCTCCGCCATTTATATTCTTTAAAGTTTATATTCAAAGAGTTATGTGTCTAAGAATAATAAAAATGTTGGAACGGGGAGATATATTAAAAGAAAAAGATTCGTAGAAGCTTTTTGATGTTACACATTTTCATTTATCATTTACTTCATTTATCCTGATCTTACATATACATTTTGTTTCCAAAAGTAAAAAACTTCATATGTAAATTACTTAAACCATAAAATTTATTAATTCCCCAGTACTTCAAAAACCCGAGTAAAAATACTTTAAATAATAATCATATTTTAAGAAATCAATTCTACTAACTCCTTTACTTTAGATTAATGAAAATATATATATATATTGAAAGGCAAACATGGGGAATACTTGGACATCTAGTGACGACATCTAAATTACCCATAACGTTACTTGAAACACAAGTAAGAAACCGAGTTAATTTTTAAGCTTATTCATATTACGCTGTAGGTGTACATTTAACGATGAACTGTGGTTTTTACTACTGTATAAAAACGAGACGGTGTATGTAATCGTGATTTAGTTACATTAAAATAATCTCACAGCTCGGAGGTAGTAACGGTGTTTATAAAACACTGAGTTTCATCATTCATTAATGAAATACAAATTACGATGGAAATATAATGAAAATACATTTTTATAAGAACAAAAATTGAAACATGATATTTCCAGATGGTTAAGCAAGTGCGTGTAGTCGTATGTACTGTTTTAATTATGAAATACATTTCAAGATAAAAGAGTCACGATCAAAATTCCTCTACTACTTTGATGAACAGTTGTGCGTATTTTCGGTACATTTTATTTCTATGTGGATAAAATACAGAGGCAGTTTTGTTCAACGCAAAACGTACAAACAACTGGAAACTTCTAGATTCTGATTTTCGTTTTACTTTGGAAATTACACGTGGTGTTACTGGATCATTTACAAGATCATGATGACTGCGGATAATGTGAAAGTCACTGTGTTTGTTATTCTAGGACTTTTTATTGGTGAAACATTTGGATTATATTTAGCAAAGACAAAGCCAAATAGTTTAAGTGCAATTTTACATGAGAAAAACCTGTCAAGTCGAAAGAAAAGGGACAATCGTTCAGATTATCCGTGAGTTTTATTTCTCATGTATATTTATTTTTTAATTTTTAGTGTGGCAAAATTACAACTTTTTACTTGGCACCCTTTAAATAATAAAAAATGATTTATGACTGCAAATTATTGACAAAAATGAAAAGTAAATTAAACACGAATTTTGTCTGTATTTATGAATTGGTTGATTTACTTTGATATATTTTGTCTTCTTACATAAAATGATTTATTACTAATAAAAGATGTAGTCCAATATTTAAGCATATGTATTTTTTCAGGTCTGTTCACCATTATGCAAGACATGCACTATGTCGAACATTCAAGGGTAAACAACATTTATACAAAGCAATGAAGAAAAAGATATGTGGAATGACATGTAAGAACCTTTTATCAAATAATATGATTTACCATTTTCTGACTTCTACTTAAATTTGTCAGGTGTATTGCTTAATTAGTTAATATTCTTTTCGAATAAGAGAGGTTTAAAGTGCTATTGTTTTTATTTATAATTTAGATATCCATTTAACGTTTGATGATTTTTAGGTTACTTCAAAATTTTACAAAATTTCTAACAGATAAACGCGGTCACTATTTTCATAACGACTCATGATAGAACTTTATACTTAAAAGTAAATCTTAAGTTTGAAATACAAATCCTTTTATCTTTGCTATATGGAATGAACAATAATCCCTTTGTTGACATAGACTAATATTTTGATAAATGTTTGAAAATTTATAATTTTCTAAGGTCAATTATTTATATGTCTCATGGACTTAGTTTTACTTAACTTCACCAATGAATTTACCTTTAAAATAATCTATTTATTTAAAAATATTCGGTAACATAGTCGAATTTTTATTTCAGTGTCTTTCATAGCAAGTTTGGTGATTGATCTTTGTCGCCATAAAAACGCGATGCTAGATACCTGGGTAGCCGGACTGTTTGATGTTGATGGTAAATTTTGCTTCTATAATTATTTTATTTTACCATTTGAAATAAGTATATTTTCATTCAATGTTTTTTCTATGTAAATCATTGTGTTTATAAAGTTTTCACTCAATATCAAAAGCGCAAATAATTGTAGTGTAAAATATACTAGTTAAAAATAAATTAACAACATCAACTATGTCCAATCACAAGAGTGTTACTAATTTATTAGAAAATTGAACTTTTAAAGTATATTGGTCTATGATGGAAGGTCTGTGAAACTCTATATATAATTATGTAAATAGTATTTAGTATCAGACATATCAGCAAACCTTGAATAATTAATATATACATGTAGTTGTTGTTGGCAAGTGTGAAAAACATAATCCCATATTACATATTATTGTATAGCAGATAATAACATGTTTTAGAATACAGTATCATTATTTGTTATTTTAATGTTCAAACTAAATCACTTTCTAAACATTGTTTTAAGAAATATTTTATAAAACTACCAAATTGATAAATTTTGTTTTTTTCTCAATATTTGAAATATTTATGGAACAAATGCTCATTGTAAACCAGTCCGCTTGAATTATCAATATATATTAGAAGCCTGAAATTATTCTCTCTGTATTTTAATGGCTTTAGTACAGCATTGTTAAATTCTGTCGACCCAAGACAAAGGATACATAATATATATCATTACTATCAATGAAAGTTGTATCCCACTTTGATAAAAAAATGCACTGTGTAGGTGACATTATTGAAAGCGAAAACAAAAGATGATCAGTCAAAACAAATGTTGGTGATGCGCGTTATTTTAAATCCTCAATTTATCCACTTATTTGATTAGAATAACGAATGTGATTAATGACACAATTAAAAACTCATTTTGATAAGAAGATTGATTTGATGACAAAAATGTATTTGTTCTTGTTATTTGATATGCATTATTATTCTACACTCCCAAAATGTGTTACTATTTTTTAAGGTGAGACTGTTTTATTTTCTAAAGTATTAAACGTATTTGATAACACTTATAAAAGCAAGTATGAATTCGTGTGTATGGAGATTTGAGAAAATCTGTGATAACCTATGATAGCTAAAGTTTTAAAGGCCAATTATGTCCCAGAACTGCTTTTACTTTTATTTCACAAAATCGCACCTTTGTTTCTTTTTCTTCTTTTTTGGTGTCCTGTTATAGGTTATAAAATGTTTCTCACTGGCCAATGGACAAAACTATCTATTGCTTCTGTTGCTTAAAATATGCCCTTAAGTAAAAGCGCATATCCTAAAATGTAATACTAAGCTTGTCACCTTTATTAGTAAGTAAATAAAAAACATGCTTTTTTTTTTCTTTACAGGTGACGGGCAGATAAGTCATTTTGAGCGAAATTTGTATGAAGATACTTACAGCTGAATTGGAAAGTGAAACCGCAAATTCATTAGGAGGTCTTGTGCAGGGGTGAAAATCGCGAAGTCCTAGGATATAAGCCAGATGCAATTTATCGTATTTTACGCAAAGGGAAATGTTTCTGAATGCAGTGATTCAAACCAAGTTTCCTAAGATTAACGGCATCGACAGTATTATTTGCATAACATTCTTAATGTTGTTATGCATTCTTAATGTTATTAAGAAATTTCTCTTTTGTATGATATACGTTTTGAATAACTCATTATCGTTCTAAATGTTCATTACAATGATATTTGAAAGATTCATATGAAATGATATGGTGCAATCTTTGATTGTGATATAAAAAGCAATAGTCATTTCATCATTTTATTTATTTCATGAAAAATCATTTTATTTATTTGTAAATATTGATATGTCAGTTGTTTGACATGACAGTTCATCATTGTATAACTATAAATCTACCTCTGTGATGCAGTATTATATTATAATGATTTACATTCCGTCCAATTATGTTATATTTTGTAATAAAAAATAGATACATAAATATCAAAAATGCTGCTTTTTTATTTTTGTTATTTTCTGTTGTATTTTGCGTGTGATAGTTGTTTAGCAACAGTAATTCGTTTAGAACAATGATTAGGATCACAAGAAAACATTGATGATGCATACAAATCTCTGTGTTCTTTGATTAATGGTGAGATTAATATTAAATTACTATATAAAAGTTTAGCGCGGAGGAAAGTAGTCTAGTAATGGTGTAACTCTCCAGGAACGATGGTTAAGAAACTACTCGCCTATATGACTGAAATACTGTTGGGAAAAGGCGTAAAATGAAACAAACAAAGCCATATAAAAAAGTATTATCTACACAAGCTGTGTAAGTAAAAAAGGGTATAAACTTTGGTGGAATGTATATCTTATTGATCTATGGCATGATACGAATGGTGTACTACAAATGATATTATGATAAATGTAAAAAAAGCAATATGACCCATTTTAGAAGTATCTCTACTACTTAAACAAATTTTAAATTTTCGTATGGTATGACTCTCAAAAGTATTGACAAATATGTATACCTTTTGTTTGTTATAGCCAAATGTGTTCGCAGGCAACTTGAAAGCAGAGCTTGGGTTGTTTTTTCTGCAATGGTATGGCCATGTATAGCATATGGGTCTGCTATCTGGGGGAAACACAAAGATTTTGCGTATCGCGGCTGTAGAGAACTGCGCCATGCGTTTTCATGGGGACTGGAAAGTATATTCCAAGCTCTGCTGTTGGTTGCCGGGAATATGATAAAGATCCAGTCTTTTAAAGCAGTTAAAATGTGTTGCTAACTTGTGGTCTAGAATAATAGTTATGAAGAGACGTAGGATAAACTTCGAAAAAAGTTGTCTTGTACTTCACATCAGTGTTGTTATATTTTTCTAGTCCTTCGGGATCATTGATTATAGCACTTTAAATGTCAATAATTGTGTGCAGCTTAAGTCGGTTCTACGGGGCGTGAGGGTTGTTGCATTTTTTATTACCCCTCATGTACAGACTCAAACAAATTCTAACTAAGTCGAAGAAAAATAAATTGATTTATATCTAAAATGAAACAGAAAAAAAAACTTGTTTTAAAGCTCACTCGTTGTTGTGGAGAACGAAATGATTTATACGTTTAACATTTCATAGCAACTTAATTGTTAATATCAACGAGAAAAACATTTTGTTGTTGTTGTTGTTGTTGTTGTTGTTGTTGTTGTTTATTCGGACAATTATTAGGACATGGAATTGTTTTTGAAATAAAACAGCAATGGCAAATGCAAGTGCATTTTTAAATTAAAAAATAATCATCATATAAAAACTGCCCACCCCCTCCCCCCCCCCCCCTCCAACATTGTTTTAGACGTATAATTACATTAACTTCAAAAGCTCCAGAGACAAAGATTGTTTGAAAAAATGAACTAATAATTTTATGATGAAATACCTTTTTATCAAGGCCATTTTATAGGAATTATAACAAATATGACAAAAGAATGATCATTAATCAATTAGCGCCCACTTCACATAATTAATAATTTTGTGTAAGAATTTCTAATCCATAAAATTGTGACACCATTTTAATAAAAGAAAACATCACTCAAAAATTAAATGATAAGGTAGAAATGATAAACTTGAAACCACTGACTTACTTATAGCAATCTTTTGTCCCCCCCCCCCTTTTTTTCTTTTGGCTTTGCTTTTGTAGTAGAGGTTGTCATTTTAAGTTATCTTTAATTTCTTCGTATGACTAAACTATATTACGTGTTTTTTGTGTATCATGTATAATGTATGACAAAAAGAATATACACACAATGTACTTTAATGAATAAGTTTTCATTAGCTTAGTTTGTACTTCAATTCGGTATTTTATTTATTTAAAAGAAAACATCAGAAACACATAAATGTTCATCGCTTTTGAGACACATGTACATTGGCCATATAATATACCGTTTCGAGTTTGTGACAACATCTAACAACATACAAATTTATCTGACACAACAATTGAAATAATCATTGATCATTTATCAGATAACTTGCCACATACACCTGTTTGTGATAAGTATCACGTCACATTGGAAGAATTTTTAGCATGAACAAAACAATTTATTTTTGTTAATTTTTACACGTCAAACACACACAGTTAACGCTTAAGACAGTGTTTAAGAGAAACAGTCATGAGGGATATTGAATGTATGAGTAACAATAGCTTGACAGTGCTCTAGGGCAAATACAGAAAATCAAAAACGATTAAGATAGCTTTTTTGCACCTGACGTCCTCATTTTACTTCATATGTTTGAAGATTCACTGCAAAGCTGCTGTTAAAACTGGCGGTACTTTTGGAATGTTTTCAATAACTACCAAATAAAAATACTCATTGAAAATATAGCAAAAATAAAGAAATTAATTATTTAAAGCAGCACACCTCAAGAAAAAAACTAATTTTCATGGGGTTTTTTTTGAAAACAAGTATATTGAAGTTATTTACTGTAAAATAAAGAAGAGAAGTAATTTACACATTACAAACGGCAGTTACAATCAACGTAAATCTACATTACAAAAAGAGCTTAAAATATGCAATTACACCCCCTATTGCGTTAGTCACGCTGTTCAAATATGATAATAAATACTTCAAAATCAGTCATTGATCGCTTATAACATGTTAATTATTGCTTGAGTTCGATTTTCTTTTACTTTCATTAAAATCTTAGTACATTTTTTTTCTCAAGGTCGATTTCCTTGAAATATTAAGGCTCATCTGGAAGCTTGAAGCTTTATACTGTCTTTGTTAATTAAAAAAAAACAGACATAATTTTAACATTAATATGATCATGTTAAAATTAAATGTTTAAATGTTAAATTTACATGACCTTGAATATACGGTACATGATCTTTTCTCTTCTTACATTAGACTGCATCTATAGTGTGAGAATTGTACATGTGAACGTTCAACAAACGTCCACGTTGCAATACATTTCCTTGTAGATATGACCATTAACAATTATTAATATTACAGCATTCAGCCAATGTCTTGTGAAAAAAAAAGTTATACACGGTAGTTTGTCCTGACATAACAAGGAGTGATAAGAAACATTCTTCTCCTTATCGAATCATTTGTAAAAATGAATCATTTATATGTAGCGGGACGAGTTTGTAAAGTAGCCATTCATATCATGGTAAAAAACATATAATCCCATACAGGCCAGTGGCCAGTCACATAAGTAACAACTCACAAGTACCCAATTCATCCGATTAAGGAAAAATAGACAACTTTATTCTTACCCATAACACATCATATATCAAAATGCAGTTTAAGTTTTAACACTTTTATTTTGTTATTATATAATGCGGTGACTATATTTTCTTATACCTAATGTTACATTATAATTTAAAATACATGAAGTTGAAAAAAAGACATCTTTTATATATGGGAATAATCAGTTACTGGTTTTTTATCGAATAACGAACTGTGAAAAGTTTCTTACATATAACAACGCCTGTTATTTTGATGGTTGTGCGTGTTGTATTAATTTTGCCTTGCACTTAATTGCTTCAATGTAAAATTTGAATGAGATAAAGCTAGTATTTTACTTTAATACACATGTTTGTTAAAGCAATATAAACAATAATTAATTGTATCACAATACGTAAAAAATCTTTCCTTGTCGAATGCCTATTTATAACGCTTAAAACTACACATCTACACATTGCGTGATTAATGTTGATATGTATCTTTTATCCTAAAAACTTACTTTAATTGATTGTATATTATGGTTTACATTTTGACTTTACGTAAGATTTTGCTTGATAAGCGGCAATGAATATATCTGAAACCATGACACCTTTACAGATTAAACCTGACAAAATTGCAATTATTTTTCGTACAATTCAAGCTGCTTATCTGTCTATCGGCTTGGTGACATATAAATAGGAAATGAGCAATGCTTGTGATAATTTCCTTTTTTTATCTTTTCATTTTATTTCTGTTTTATCATTTTGTACAGGTGAAAGTAAAAAAAAAATTTGCCATAAAAACTTTTAAATTATGGCGGCGTTGCCAAGTGGTAAACCTGTCGGACTAGTAATCTGAGGATTGCTGGAACCCCGTCAGGAGAAAGCCATTGTTACCTTGAGCAAGGAACTTTGCACTCATTGCTTAGTTCTGGTTGGTTTCAGGAACAGATTCGAGTGTGTTTCAATAACCTTATAGCTTCCAACACAATCGAACACAATAAGTTGGTATAAACTAAATTGACTATTTATACTTTAAGCAATGTTTCGTTTTTAATCCCAACCGTTTCTTTTTATTAATTTAGATCAGTGACCATTATAATAGTGCATCTTATCAACTATAATATAACTATTTAAGCTCATCTTAACAATGAAGAGATGGACACAATGTCCCTTTTCTTATGCATGTCGAAGAATTATGCATTTTCTCTAAGAGAAACTTGCCCTAGAAGTTTCAAAGGTTGTGAAGTACAAAAAAAAATACAATCCGAACTGTGCATAATACCAAGTGCAGTAGATAATTCTGTTTTACCCGGGCGGTTGTTGTAAACTCTTGCAAAAATGCATTTGTTCATATAATAATACTGTTATGTGCTTGAGACTTTCGGTTAAAGATCGCAGTTATGTTTACAAACAGCAGACACATAACCTGTAACTAAAAGTTGGCTTACAGTGAATTGTACTAATACCAACTTTATTCTTATGTATCAAGCATGCATAATGTTTTAGATGCAAGAATGCAAGATCATTTTAGAGTGTCTTATCTTTTCATATCTGGTTAAATTGTTGGTATACTTCATGAATATTT